AGTCTGAGGGAGGTGCTGCTGAAATTTACACCATTGGCAACACCCCAGCACCCCCTAAAGTGTCTGACGCATAGGGTCAAGTAGACCTGAGTCTACCTCCTCAAATTGAGAGTTTGGTCAAATCACGTCGAGATCCTCAAAAGACTCATTCTAGGGGCTCCAATAGTCATAATCCTAGCCATCATAGTTCATCCAACAAGGGAATGCACCCTGAGATCCATCAGTTTGATCAAGAACTCCCCGAGTTTTATAACACCTTTGAGAGACTCAAAAACTTACCCGAGGTCAAGGATTTTTGAAACATGCTGGCCTTGTTGAGTCACATGCCTCACCTAGGGCATCGAGTCATCAGTCAGGTCAGAATCAGATGATCTCTTTAGCCCATGACCAATAAAGTCATGTGAGTTCCACCCCGTCGGCGAGCCAGCATCGCCAATCTTCTCATCCTCCAACTCCTATAGATCCGGCTTGACCACATGACCGTCCATCCCATAGTTAGTCCAGATCTAACCCTCCACAAGTTATATGTAGTCATCTATTTGTGCAGCCTCTTCAGCCCGCCTCAGTTCCATACTATCAGTCACAGGCACCCTATTCGGCTTCTATTCCAACTCAGTATCCCCCGAGTCCGCCATACCAGTCGACTCCATACCCTCCGATTGTAATCCCAGCCTCTAGTCACCTGTACCTGGGATATCTTATGCACCAGGCCTCAACTGTCAATTTTTAAGCCTCGACACCGGCTTATCAGCCTCCGGCTCCTCCAATCCAAGCTCAAGCTTACCCATACCATCCTCCAACCATCTCGTAGGCCCTGCCTATGTCTGGTCTAGTGCAGCCCATATCAGCAACATCTGTTGCACCACAAATTATGCCATCAGCCTCGGGCAACCAGCCAACTCCTGAGTCGATTGAGCTCGCTCAGCTGAAAGGCGAATTAACCACGTTTAAAGAGACCATGGCTAAGATAAGAGTTCTAAATATACTCCCTCCATGATCTTATGTCAAGGATGTTCTCAGGGATGTTGAACCCCTTCCTCCGGGTTTCGTGTTTCTAAGGTTTGAAAATAAGTTCAGCAGGAAGGGTGACCCTGATAATCACATCACCGCTTACTTATTGACTATTCCAGCATTAGAAGACAAATCATGCCAGGCCATGTTTCAATACACTCTCTCCGGACCACCTCTAACATGGTTCCGAGAAATAATATCCAGGTACCCTGAGCAGACTTCTGACGAATTGTTTTGACGATTCGTTGAACAATATCAAAGGACCAAGCAACAACCTATGACCCTCGGGGAGTTGGTTGCGACCAAACAAAACATTGTCAAGTCGTTCCCTGACTTTGTCAATCGATTCCGGGAACCTCCATCAAAGGTCATTGATTGCGCAGTTCCCGAGACCTCTCAGATGAGCATGTGCTTAGAGAATTCCCTACCAGAGTACATGAATTTCTTCAGTCATGGGTTGCGACCTTTCTCATTTCAACAGATGATAGATCAAGTTGCTTTCTATGAAAGGTCAAAGGTCACCGCTTTCGGTGCAAAGTTTGAGAACTCAACAGTGGCCGTACCATCATAGACTAAAACAATGGGCAATTATAACAACAATCCCAAAAAGAATAATATTATTGCCCAGGTAGGCTAGATTGTCGTTGCACCAATTCCACCCCAAGCTCAAAAGATAAATGATCCGCCCAGGGGCACCTGTAGGACTAATAACTTCAACTCCAGTAATAACACAAACATTGGATACAGGAGGCCCTTTCCAGACCCTGTTCAACCAAAGTATGAGGTTAAAGATAAATCCAGATGGTGTGGATACCATAGAAATCACACCCATAGCACTCAAGACTATTATAACTTAAGGCGCATCATCCGGGAACTCCTAGATAAGGGTGATATCAACTACACTCCCACCGATATGCCGATGGAGGCCTCTAATCAAAAGATGGGAATATTTGCCAATCTACTCACGAATAATGGCAAGAAAGTTGAAATAGAATCTCCCGAGGAGGTCAGTTCAGTTGTCATTACAGTGATTGAAGATAAGCTACTCAGGGGTGACCTTAAAGTGCAAAACCATAAGGATACCCAAGAAAATATGTCAGTTTCCCCTTGGGATCATGCCATCTTCAAAAGTAAAGAAGCCGTAGTCAACAGAGATCCATGAATAAACATTATTTCAATTAATCAGGACTACAGTCCCTCCCAAGATGAGAAAGCTGAAAATCCAAAAGAATCTAGACCAGGTGTCATCGTCGTGGCCAATTAAAACCCTCAAGAGGTTGACCACCTCACGAGGAGAGGACGTGATTTCAACCCACCTCGATTGATGGCCGACACTCTAGAAGAATGGCTTGGGAATCTTCCCAAAGTTGATCAAAATCCCAGCATGCCCAATGAAAAACAAAGGAACAAGAAACAGACATTGCTGAGCCCATCACACAGTACAACTTGCCAGCTCATCTCAGTAAAATTTCAGCATCCATTTCTATCATGGATCTAATGAAGAACTCGCACATTCGTTGGGCCCAAATTGATGAAGTACATGGAAGGACTCATGTCCCTACCCATACTAGACCCGAAGAGCTAAGCAACATGATCAATCTTTTAACGGCACCGACCCCCATTACATTTACTGATGATGACATACCTCCGAAATTCGCTCTTTTTCATACCCATCCACTTTATATCACTGTTTTCATGAGCAGTTATGAAATCAGGAGAGTGATGGTTGACAATGGGGCATCTCTGAACATCTGTCTCTTGAAAACTATTTCAAGAGTAGGGTTATCACAACAGACCTTGAGGTCTCAAACATCTCAATTGCAGCCTATGATGGGGCTCAAAGAGAAACCTTAAGGATCATGCCCCTCACTCTTAAGATTGGGCCGGTGGTCCAAATAATGAGGTTTTATGCCCTTGACATTGAACCTTCATTCAATCTACTCATTGGCAGGCCTTGGCTACATGAAAATCTTATTGTGGCCTCCACTTTGCATCAATGCCTGAAGTTCCCAATTACTGGAGGAGTGATTTGCATACGTTTAAATGCATTCAAAGCAGAGAAAGAGAAACTCTATGAAAATTTGAAAATCCAAGAGATCCCACTTCTAACATAATCATGATCCATGAAACGCATGAAGCATTTGAGAAATTGAAAATTTGTTGTAGTCATCACGTTTTTGGTTCATGCATGGTATGAAATATGCTATTAGCTCAGGGGTACTGCCCCGATTCTGGCCTTGGAAAAAATGGGCAAGGTGTTGCTATGGCAATTACTCAGCCCCTTCATGCTAAAGTGGACACTAACAAACGAAGAGGGTTGGGTTGCACACTTTCTAAGCTTCAATGCAAACTCAAATCTTCTTGACAATCAGGTTTTATTCTTGGAGGAATTCAAGGTCTTGACCACCGAAAGACCGAATCTCTTCTAAACCGAAGATCATAATTGAAATTCCTCTAGAAGAAGAGTTGTTAGAACAACAACTTTCCCATCTTACACTTAGAGCCCATATTGTGGCTATCACCTCCTATGCTCCCAAGCAAACTAGGGCAATTACTGAAAATTGGAGCATTACTCCCTTATCTATTGAATCTATCAAGGGGATATAACGATACTTTCAAGTCCTTATGCCAAAAAATAGGCATTCTGCATGAAGCCTCTCTAACACCATTACCTTTTCGATTGTAGAAAATGCAGTCAAGATTCTTGACAAACCAAGTGAAAACTTAAACGAAGTCAATGAAAAAAATGAGGATTCACCTGTCGATAAAAATTTCAAGGCAGATGAAGAACCTCCTACTGAGGAACTCATGTTCCAAGCTAAGCAGTTTAAGACAAGATTCAACAGTAGTCCTACTGCTATTGTTGAGGAGACCTTAGACATTAATCTAGGAACTGAGAAAGATCCGAAGATCACTAGAATTGGAAGCTCTGTCACCAGGGAACAAGATAAGATGATCTCCCTCTTAAAAGAATTCATTCACATATTTGCCTGGCCATGTGAAGATATGCCTGGCTGAAATCCCGAATTGGCACGACACCATCTTGTACTTCATGAAGGGGCAAGAGCCATCAAACAGAAACTATGTTGACAAAAGCGTCACTTGGAGTTGAAGATAAAAGAAGAGATTGACAAACTTTTAAAGGCAAAGTTCATCTTACCTGTGGACTATCTGGATTGTTTAGCCAATATCGTAGTAGTACCTAAGAAAGATGGGAGAATCAGAGTTTGTATCAACTATATGGACCTGAACAAAGCATGTCCTAAGGATGACTTTCCTCTTCCAAATATAGATGCCCTAGTTGACAACACTGCTAGACACCAAATGCTATCCTTCATGGACGGTTTCTCTGGCTACAATAAGATCCTCATGGTGAAAGAAGACCATAAAAAGACTTCCTTCATCACACAATGGGGGACATATTGCTATAGAGTCATGCCTTTCGGTCATAAAAATGCTGAGGAAACCTACCAAAGGGTCATGACTGCTATATTTCATGACTTGATGCATGACATTATGCAAGACTATGTGGATGACATCCTCGTCATAACCAAAAGTTGGGATGCCCATCTTCCCAATTTGAAAAGAGTATTTGGCTGACTTCGAGAGCATCAATTAAAGTTGAATCCTCAGAAGTGCACCTTCGGTGTTGAGTCTGGCAAGCTGCTTAGCTTCATTGTGAGCCAAAGAGGAATAGAAGTGGATCAAATGAAAGTTAAGGCTATCTCATACATGCCACCTCCAAAGAATATTCACGAAATTCTTAGGTTACAAGGTAGAATACAGGTTATGCAGAGATTTATATCTCAATTAGCTGAGAAATGTGGTCCATTCAATCGTCTGTTAAAGATGGACACCCCGTTTATCTGGGATGAGACATGTCAAAAGCCTTGAACCGTATAAGGTAGTACCTTTCTAACCCACATATCTTGATTCCACCTGATCCCAACAAATCTCTATTCCTTTACCTTGTTGTAACAGATAAGACAATGGAGGCGATGTTAGGGCAATATAATAACCACGGAAAAGAGAAGATCATCTACTACATCAGTAAGACAATGGTTGACTATGAAATACGATACTCGGAAGTGAAAAAACATTGTCTAACCTTAGTGTTGGCAACTCAAAAGTTGAGGCATTATGTGCTTTCTCATACCATCAAGTTGATATCCAAGATGGATCTACTCAAGTACCTGCTAGAAAGACATGTTTTAAATGGACGATTAGCTAAGTGGAGAATGCTCCTAAGTGAATTTGACATCGAATATGTTACTCAAAAATCAGTCATGGGGCAAGCAATTGCCGATTATTTAGCAGAACATGCCTTACCTGACTGTGTCCCCATCAAAACAGATCTCCCTGATGAGGACCTCTTTGTCATTGAGGATCCAATTTGGGACTTATACTCTGACGAAGCTAGCAATGAATACAGCACTGGTGTCGAAGTCATCCTATGCTCTCCAAAGAAAATAATGTTTCCAACCGCTAGAAGGCTCAATTTTCCCTACATAAGCAATGTTGCAGAATATGAAGCCTTAATAGCTGATCTCGAGAACACCCGTGAACTCCAAATTGAACAATTACGGGTCATGGGTGATTCTTTGCTTGTAATAAATCAAATTAACGGAGAATGGAATGTTAATGAAAAAAAGCTCCAGCTCTACCAGGACTCAGTTGTAAAGTTGTCAAAATACTTCAAAAAAGTTACCTTTCAACATGTGACTCGGGAAAACAACCGGTTCGCCGATACCTTGGCTACTCTCGCATCAATGGTGGACATTCCTCCCTAAAAGAGTGTTCAACCATTCTACATTAGACACAAGAGTGATCCTTCTCCTCCCAGGATGGAGTCGAAAGAGCAAGATCAAGAATCAGAGAGGCGAGAAGAAGTGTTCACCCTTGAGGACAATCAGATAGTTAAAGCTAAACCCTGGTATCATGATGTATCAGTCTTACTCAAAGATGGAACGTATCCTGAAGGAGCTTCAAAGAGAGATATAGATGCCTTAAGAAGATTATCATTCAACTTCTTGATCAAAGTTGCATCCTCTACAAGAAGTCCTTTGAAGGAATCCTCCTAAGGTGTATTGACCAACCAGAAGTCAATACAGTGCTCAAAGAATTGCACAACGAAGGAGGACCCATAGGGGCAGTACTCCTAGCTCAAAAAGTCAGAAGACAAGGATACTACTGGACTACTATGGCCGAAGACTGTTGGAAATATGTGAAGAGATGTCCTAAGTGTCAAGTTTATGGGGATCTCATACACGCTCCTTCCATGCCACTCAATTCAACACCTTCTGTTTGGTCATTTTTCATGTGGGCCTTGGACATAATCGGAATGATAACATCAAGAGCTTCTAATGGACACAGGTTTATCCTCACTGCTACTGAATATTTCACGAAGTGGGCCGATGCTGCTTCATTCACCAAAATAAAAGGACAACATGTAACCAGATTTATTACAAATAACATCTTGGAGTCCTCGAAATGATCATCACTGATAATGGGACTAACTTCAAAAGTGAAAAGGTAGCAAAGATGTGTAAAAGATTTGAAATCGAGCATAAGTTCTCTTCGCCCTATTACCCCCAAGGCAATGGTCAAGCAGAAGCGACCAACAAAGCCCTCTTGAAGATCATCGATCGAACCATCGAAGGTGGCAAGGATTGGCATGAGAAGTTACAAGCTGCACTCTGAGCTTATAGAACCACTGAGAAAACAACCTCAAGGATGACTCCCTACTCATTAGTCTATGGCATGGAGGCAGTACTTCCAATCGAAGTGGAAATACCCTCTCTTAGGGTACTTGCTCACAAAGATTCATACTATAAGCAATAGGCTGAAGCCCGACTAGCCACTCTCGAAACTCTGGATGAGAGATGACTACGAGCAGCTAAAAGAATGATATTCTAATTATCACAGAATTGAGCGAGCATATCGAAAGAAGGTAATACTCCGATAAATTAGAGTTGGGGAACTAATTCTAAAGAAAATCTTCCATTCGATGTTGAATCCTCAGCCATTAGGAAAGTTCAAGCCTAGTTGGGAAGGACCATATGTCATAACCCAAACCCATTCAGGCAATTCCTACAAAGTCAAGAACCTTGAAGGACAAGAACTGAATGATCCTATCAATGCTATGTACCTCAAGAAATATTACTCCTGAAAAAAAAAAAAAAAAAACAAAAGGAGAAAATGAGCTTAATCGCCCAACAAGAGATTGAAGGACTAAACTGCTAAGAGTCACTCTGAGTCTGAAGATCAAATCTAGAAGGAAGCAATCCAAGGCAGAAAGATTCTATAAGAATTTGATAACCTTTGTCAAAGAAGTATCAGATACCAACTAGGGGCAAGGAAAATCTAAGGATAACCAAGACTGGGACGTCCCTGCCACTTAGAAAAAGGAAGGATGATCGAGTTCTTATTAGTTTTTTTTAGGACGAAGTGCCACAAGAAGAAAAAAAATGCCACCAACTCTTCTCCTCCTCCTCTGTTTCCATCTTCTTCAAAAAATAAAAAAAAATAAGAAAATAAAAAAATAAAAAAAATCCGTTGAGATGAAAATTGAAAAGAATCTCGAGCGTTGGAAAAAATGCCACTGAGCTAAACACCCGAAACGGACCCTAGCGATAGAGAAAAAAAAAAAAAATTTCTGCAGGGCTTAAAATTCAAAAAGAACTTCAAGCCTTGAAAAACAGCTATCGGGCTGAACACCCAAAAGGGACCGGAGCGATAGAAAAATAAAACTTATTTATCTTTTTGTCTCTTTTAAAAAATCTCCAGAAATTCTTCTCTTTTCAAGTCTGAATGGTGTCAGAAAGCAAATGAAGGCATCAATCCAACGACTATCTGAACTTCAAAAGAATGGTATTGGAGGAACAAAATTGGAAGTCCAAAGATATTTGGAGCACTCTGAGGCACATCTCATATTATCCAAGACACCGGTTTGCTCGAAAAAACAAGAAAAAATCTTCATTGAATTGTGACATAAGAGCTAAGATTAGAAGATGAGGAAGTACTCAGTGATTCCTCGTCCTAAAAGTACCAAGTAGAGGCTAAACGTAGCCCAAAACTCTGTTTCTGTTTCAAAATTCAATCTATCTTCAAAACTTTCTAAAACGTTTTTTAAAAAATGAAGGAGTTTCATGGAGACTTGGATATGATACGTCTGCCGCCACCAAATCCTGGATTGCAATGCTTGCAAACCCTTGGGAAAACATATACCAACCCATAGGTTCCCATACCAAAAAACCTCAACCTGTGGACCCCACGAATCAAAATCGAAGGTGAACAAGAAGTTCAATTAGCCAAAAATTTATCATCCCATCTTTTCCTCTAAATCAAAGTCTCGTTCTATTGGAGAATCAGACCTAAAAAAAAAAAGGTCTAAAGTCGAAGATGACTACACTGGCAGCTTCCCAGATAGCATTGGAGTGACTACAACAAGGAGTGTCACCGACTCAAAGATAGTACGGCTCCTGTTGACTGTCACTTCGGATCCTGATTATTGGAGACCACTCAACCGTAGTAACTCAAAGATAGTAGTGTCAGTTCTATGTCTTATGGATCAAAAGCATCCATCGACATACCGCCTACCTAAATGATACTAGTCATTCAAAAGAATGATCTCTCGAAAAATATTTTCCTTCCCACCATATCTCAGGTGTCTACTTTTTTGCCATTCACTTGGTGACCTAGGTGAATGCCAAAGAGGGGCAATTGTAGACATCCCCTCGAAATTCTGGCTAAGGGAACTCTTATAAACCTCGATTATGGTCTTAAAGGACCACACAAATCCTATTTGACCATAGGCAACCTAGACCCAATTTAATTAACTCAAAACTATCTAAATCATATCTCAACTTGAAGTAGAGCCTAAGAGCTTTCTAACGGTCAAAGAATCGCCTGAATCGGACCTATGAATAAAAAGATATAACAAATAACAATTTAATCCCTATAAGACCCCACTGTTGAGCGGCGGGCCGGGCTGTAACTGGCTCAACAGGCCCAGACATGGCCTGATGATACAGACGTGGCATTTATGATGCAGTTAATGCATTTTATGATGTAGTAAACATATTTTCTTTAATTAGATAAGACTAAAACTTAAAGATAAATCTAAACAAATAAAAAAAACTCCAAAAAGATTAGTTAAAATTACCAATGAAGTTCTATAAATACCCTATTCATAACCTAAAAGAAAGAGACCAGAAACCATAAAGAAATCCCGTAGAAATTTCAGAAATTAGAAAAATAGCCCAAAAATACCCAAAAATAGGAAAAGCCCTTTAGAAAATTCTTAAAAATTTAGGAAAAATCCCAAAAAATCCAAAAAATTAGAGAAAAATCCCAAAATTCATATTCAACCTCTGAAGATCCCAAAATCCTTAAAAAACTAAAGAAATTCTCCTCCAATCCCAAGAAAAAGCCTAGGTAGACTCTAACTAAAATTCTAAGTTTTTTCCCTGCTTTAGGAACCCTAGATATAAGTAAAATAACCTTAGATTTATCAATTCTAGCAAGCAAAGACATCTAAAAAAGGAGATTGTAGCGCAAATTGGAAGAGCGGCGTGATTCAAGCCCGAAACTTCGGGTTTCGGGTTCCTAGTGGTAAGAATATATTTATTTGCTTAATTTAGTTTGTTTTTCTTTATTTAATTATCTGTTTTATTTTATTTTTTCTGAAAATTACTTCATCATTAGATTTAATTAAATTTAGAAACGTTTTTTTGTCAAAATATGGATTTGGAGCTCGCACTGCCAGTGGACTTAGAAAAAGACCGGATATGTATAGATCTAGGACTTTCTTGAGCCTATAAAATCAAGCGACCCCACTTTCTCTAACTTTTTAAAAAGTAACTCAGTTTTTTCTAAGCTTTGAGCAGATCTCATCACAAAGATTGGTGTAGATATGAGCGTAAACAAACACCTAGTGCACGCTTAAAAACACATGATTGCCATCAAATACACTATGACTACATGGATCGGGTCTTGCTGGACCAGACCCAGACCCGAATACTATCCGGATCCAAACTTTGGGGACATTAAGTCAGGTACACCGGTCGGGCCCTTGGTTTGGTTGGTTCTATTACCACCCCTACAAACGTCCCATAGTGTGCTAGAGATTAAAGGCCAATGAATAGCCGATTGATTCTAGGGCATATATTCTGGAAATCAATATGACTCATGTCTTAGCCAAAAATATAAATTTGACTCAAGGAGATATCTCAATGCGATCAACATGGGATGCATAATACCTAGGGATCATCCACAAGATCTCCTGCCTTATTAGACATGAAATCTCATGATTTATGGGCTGAAAATAACATGTTATCAAGTTTCTAGTTCTTACCATGAACTAAATCCATTAGCTCATCAAAATCCACACCTAAGGGTTTTTATCTTGGTGCTTTACATCTCAAAATCCCTAAATATTAAATGCGAAAGGTTTCTATGATTTCTGTAAAGAATAGAAGTTCTATCCTCCCCTACCATCCAATTTTGATTAAGAGAGTTACTCACCGTTTTATCTTAGATCCGACGTCTCAAAGTATTTTATTTTTAGTTTGTTTTATACAAATTGTATGAATATGAAATTTGGTACGTGCCATCTTCTCATTGGGGCGCATCTATAAAAAATATTAAAAATACTTTTTTGATAAAATATAATGATCCCTTGAAACTTTCAGAGGTATTTTGGTAATATT